AAAAAAGTATCATAACATTGTTGTAAGTTGGGCTCAAATTTGAATAGGTATTTGGTGTCTTTCCAACTTCGAATGCCTTTTGTAGCTTCGATCCTCCGAAAAATGTACGGCATCCGAATTTTGTTTCGAACGTATTAGATACTTTTCTATCTGTTTCTATTAAACCCAATCTATTCATTGACTAAAAGCTTTATTGTAGGAAACACCACAATATTAGAGTAATTTAGTTTTCCGGCAATGGTGTTTAGCTTTTTATCTAGTTGAAGTACCTGTAGAGTGAATACCCTTCAAAAAAATAGCATCCTGCTCATCACGTTGGATAGTTACACGCCGTTATACTGACTTACCTTCTTTAAAATAAATAAACAAATAATGCCCATTTACAGAGCGAGATTCCTATCGATACTACGCTGGGCCGAGCTAACCGAGCATTTCACTACTAACTCTACATCGTCATGGCGATCGTTTTCGTACTTAACGATATATTCATTTGGCGAACTTTGCCTTTGATAAATCACTGTTTCTGTTTAGCATTGGCGGACAGCTGGCCGCATTCATCATTAGACAACGAGTCAGCTTCCTGTTTTTGTGCTGTCCGTCAGTACGGTTGGTATCACTTGACGCTTTCGGCAACTGTTGCCAGGAGTAACAGCTGGACTCGCCAAGAAACCATTGTCCTTTCATAACCATAGCTTTACAAGTAAACACAACCCTATATTTTACATACGAGTTATCAACAGATTCCGGAAAGACAACCCCACAAAGTGGGCGCACTCGATCATCGAGTACTGGCTGTACATGTACAAATATGAATGGGTCGTCAGACATTTGACCGTTTCGAATTCTAGCTTCGAAACAGGCTTAGCGTTTCGCCAGACGCCATTACCTGCTAAAAGTAGAGCAAAGGCAGTCAGCCAATGAACATTATATGGACGCTAGCACAATGCAGTTTCTGTCCTGACTTTCCAAGGCCTAGTCTTCTTTGCAAGCACTGTGGCCATTTGAAAATTTCCTTAATACAACTTTTAGCCTTAAATGAAACAGGTGACAACAATAGCATGAAACGTATCGCCGCTGCTTACTTGTCCTATGGCAATTTTGCGAGCGAGCTCCGTCGCCGACTCTAACAGCAGCGGATTCCGTGGCGGTGGAAGCGGTGAAGGCCGAGTTGGTTCAGCTAAACTAAACACGGCATTGATCGACCAATCCATACACATTCGAAGGGAACGCATTTCCACTGCCACTTAACACTTGCTACCACCTGCTAACTTATGGTAAACTTGTCTAATAGTATATAGACGATGTCGCTTTTCGATCGTCAGTGTGATTTTCCAGATGCTGACGTCTTTCAGAGTGCAGCAGTAGATCAGAGGCATTAAATAGTGATCGGCCGCACGTTTTTCGCTAGACAAATCACGCTCGTTCCATTGTGCATCGCCACGTGAGAAACATCAAAGAGAGAGAGAGAAAGAGAGAGAACGAACGTGCGGCAGGGAGAGAGACAACAGACTCGATGTTCATACACGCATAACAATATGATACCATAAGTTTTTTTTTTTATTACGTCCAGTGCTGTCAGACTTCGTAAAAAGCGAGCAACAAGTAACTTGAATGAACTATTCTATATCGGACATCAATAGGACTTCACAAGACGAAGCTAGTAATGACCGGTGGCGGTAGTTCGAGGCGTCAGTTATGTGAAGACCATTAGTTGGGAGAATCTACGACTAGCAACTGGATGTACTGCTAATATAATACTTTTCGTCGAAATCGTACTATATTAGCAATGGCGCGTTACATCAAGACACAGCATCGACTAGCGACGGCGAGCTCAGAGGGCAGAAGGCCACCAAGCAGCACTATCAGCGGCAGCGGCAGGGCGACGACAGGACACAGTTTAATAACAGCACGACACTCGTCAAACGCCGATGACGCCTATGGCTTGCGACCGCAGAGCGATCGACGAGCTACAACCACTATCAGCCGGCGCCGTCAGACAGTTCGTTGGCGCTGTTCACGACGCGACTGCGACTACACGAGGAGGTGGAGAGGACCCGAACGAAAGGAAAGGGCACGAGTTAGCGGATTCGACTAACACAATGGCGGGTTTTCATGGCCTTGCCGGAAGCGTATAGCAGCTTCTTATCGTATCGGATTATTGGAATTGAAGGATTGTTAGGTTGTTAAGTTTGCTAAGGCGGTAATAGGGTATTGTGCGACTAGCTCACTATGTGCTAGGCTAATTATGGAAAGGGTAGATGATAAATTAATAGGAAAGGTACACTCGGCAAGGTGTCTAACATATATAGGAAGTAACATGAGCCACCATGACATTTTGTGGATGGATTGTGAAACGCATCGTAAAAATGAAGCGCCTGTTACGCTGTTTAGCCGCGGAGACGAATCTAGCCAGGCTTTCTTTCGAAGGCAACTGTTTCGAGGAGCGAAAAATGATCCTTGAGACTGATTTTCTGTGTGGGCAACGTAGCTGGAAGGCAGATAAGCAGAGCTAGCATTTCGAGTAGCATATATTATTGACTAAGGCTGTGTTCGTTGAAATTTGTTCAATGAAATTATAGGCAGAGTTTCTTAGAGTCACTGTAAGGTATTCTTGGCTAAAAAATTAGAAAATATCGTCGTTAGAGGCTAATTAATACGAACTGCAGGACGTTCTTTATAGCTGTACCCTTCACAGTCCGCCCTTTCCCCGTGATGAGAATATGTGTGCGCGCCTGCTTACAGAAGCCCGCTAACCCGCCACTGTTACCTGCCAAAATATTGCAGCACTGAGGAAACAGGTCAGATAGTGGATTTCGTGTGCTGTTTCTGCCAACTTCTTTCTTCATATCCGTCGTGTGCCATTGATTTCATTTGAAATCATTGTTCCTCCCGCAGTTACGGATACCTGCTACTGTGATAACGGTCGTGTCAGACACCAGCTCAAAGTACAGCTCCGTACGTTATTCGGGCTGTGGCCCGCGTCAATGGCTAGATCCAGAGAGCAAGTGGGCCAGTATCTGAGTGCGTTCGAAACCTCCTCCAAGGAAGAGAAGACGTCCGGGCACTGAAGCTGCAAGTCCGGCATCATTGAAGTGCCAGGAAGAATAGTGCGTGCAAAAATCGAAACGACTCTTGCGGTAACAACAACAAGTCCGGTGCACTGCTACTACGGTGACGGCGATATCGCTGCACGTTGGCAGCGTCGACGGCAGAAAGAAGCAATCATGCCGAACCTGCTAGACTTGCCAGACGAACTCGTCGGCTTGATACTTCAACACTGTTTGTCGAGGGACGTTCTCGCAGTAGCTAATACTTGCTCTCGGTTGTGCAAAGTGGCCAACGATGTTTTCCTTTGGTAGGTGCCCACACTTGACAGGTACACTACAATAAGCAGCTAGAGATTCAAAGGTACATGCTCCGACTTTATGGCCCGATTTGTCCGAAATTCTTTGGTTAGCCGACCAGTCTTTCGTTGGACTTCTGCTAGAACTATGCGGGCACCCCCCTTCACTGGTCCGCTTAGTGGCTCGTTTTCTAGTCAGCAACACTTTCGGCTTTGAGAATTCAACTGGGTCATGAAAGTCAGCTATCAGCTGACTGCCGTAAACGCAATTTGATACCATTGACTAAACCATACTATAGTTACAGTTAAGACACGCAACTTTCGATAACAAGCTATGTCGTCACCGCTAACTTAGGGTTCGTAACTGAAACATCTTTCATATAAAAATGACCGGCATTTTCGGAGAGAGTTTTGTTACATAAAAAATAATGGCGGAATATTTAGAATTCCTTTTGCATGTGTAGTAAGCTAAGGCATGTGAGAAAGCGTTCAGCGTCTTGCATTACAGGAACGCCAATCGCAAATAATTTTAAACTCTCTACATGTTTCAACATTGATGTGTTTAATACCTGACGTAACTTTGCAAAATTGGGTATTGCTTCTGACGACTAGCCAGACAAGGACAATTGAATGAAAATTTCTAATCGTTCAACTTTGCCTCAAATTATATTATTTTCGAAAGTTCATAAAGGTAAATATGATATGGGGGCTGTGTTGCGTCGGAGGACCGAATCTATTTAGACATAGATATATGTGACTATAGAAGATGAACTTGCGAATCATGTACAAAGCTTTCGTAGAGATGTGTCATCTGAAAACATTTCCTGAAACCTACCATAGCTCACAATAGTCAATGCATCCAGTGCTGCCGTACTGGGTTTCTGAACATCGTCCCTTTCGATACGAAACTACTCGGATTCTATGACTTCTACTATCGTCGTCTTTTGGTACGGAGCAATGTTAAGCTAGACCGTATTGTCCTGGTGTTCCCGTACGCAACTGTTCGATTTTGTAGGACAAACCAGGATACAATTGAGTATCAGTAAAAGAAAGCGATGCATTTGCAAACCAACCCGTTACTTTGATAGCGCTCTTCTTAGCAGGGGACGTCAGTGGACACTTAAGAAGTGATCTATCTTAAAAATAGCGAATTATCTACTGCTGACGAAAGGGTTAGATTTCTGTAAAAGCTTCTCTGACAAGCAAGGATCATCGATTTGTACACTGTACAAACAGCAGAAGGAGCTGTTTTCTATTGTCAACGAATAAAATAGGGAATTATGGGTACGTGCAGTGGCATGTGTGTAAACGTCCCTAATGCACTCGAGAAGCCGACATAATCGGAACTACTCACAACCGTCCGCCACTATGTAGGAGCACTAGGTCATATAATAAAGGCAACCCGAAGAAAAAACGTTTACTATTTTACATTCAGCCTGCTGTCTTTGAAGACCCTTTGCTAAACAGGGACAGCAAGTTGCTTCTATCGGTACGAGCTTGCCTTATGCATCACTGTATCAAACGTACGGTTAAGAGCGAAGTTGTTTCAACCTTAAAAACTTTCTATTCTGTGACAACCAAACAATCCAACTATTGTTTTGCTTCAATCTCTTTTAGATCAAGAGACATTGCATTAGTGTGTAGGCTGTTAGTTTTCGTACGTTTTGTGTATTTTTGTATTCGTCCGCAACGTAATATCATCAAATATAGATATAGAAAAAAAATGCCATCGAATGAGCTGTCAAAAAAGCGTTGACCATTTTCTAGCTAGATAACCCTGAAATTATATATTTCGGGTAACGTCAGTCACGTTGGGTCGGCTGGTTTGTTGGCGTCATTTGAGAGCTGAAATGATATTGGCTTACAATTGTTCGAGGGTCGTTATTTAAAACTTAGATGAAGCGAAAATTTCAGTAAAAAATTGTTATATTAAACCACTTTCTTACAGAGCACAAATGCGTTCCAGGTTCATGAAAATGAACGCTACTTATGGTCAAGATATATTATCAGAAGAAACGGTCCCACGACGGTTCTATTGCTCTCGCTTTGGAAATTTTGCTGTGAAAAATACTCCTCGTAGGGGTCAGCCAAAGACGATGAAATGACCGCCGAAATTGAGCGAGACGGTGACGCAAGACGCGCAAGACGCGTGAGTAGCCATCCATGATTGCCAAACGGTTTTAGACAAGTTGAAGCTCGACATTTGAATTGACGCAAGGGAACTTACTGAATCGTGTTTCTATCTGCGACGCCCTACAGAAACACAATAAGATCAAGCTGTTTTTAAAACGCTTGATTATGGATTATCTGAAATATATGATTTTACGGTCACCTGGTGAGGAAACGGTTTTTTTTTGACAAAGTCGTTCATATATGATAGTAATGTGCAAATAAAGAAAAATTATGGCAAAGCCATAACTGGCGTCAAGGAAAATGGTACTATACGTTTCGTACGATTGAAGAACGATCCTGCATAATAGGTTGAAACTGTCTTAAAGAACGATTCATTTGGACCTCTACCGTCAACAACTAACAGGAAGCCACTGACAAAAAAGCCATTACAATTTACATATAAGAGGTGTCGAAAATTCAGGGAACTTGAATTCAGGGACAATTTGAATATGTACGTTATATAGCCCGGATCATGCACTACCATTACTACAATCTCTTTTAGCCTCTACATAACTACTAATAGTGATACTAGTTTCAACAAGAGGATGTAATAATCGGTGATTACAGTTTTTTGTCTAAAAATTACAAAAGCTCCGTAGTGCTGCCGTAGGAATCTAAGTGCCGTAGGATCATGCCGTAGGAAAACGGCATGATGTCATCGATCTGTATTCAACTTAGTAATATTGTTTTTTTTCGGCTTGAAAACCGTTACTACTTTTTCGACTATATATATATATATATATAACTAAAATTATTAAAAATTATCAAAAACTAAAATGATGATTACATAGCATAATATAATATTTGAATGCTTCAATATTTACAGTTTTTACTTGGAATTACTGTTGTAAAAAATGGTTTTTCTCTTAGTTTTAAGTTACTTTGCATGTATTAATCAACAAGGAATATGTTCAAGCTTTAAAAATATATGCAAGTTGTCTTGGGTAGAAACGTGTAAGCTGACCGATTTCAATTGAATTGTCTCCGCCGTGTACAACAGTCTTTATGAAGCTACTGGGTCGGGCTTGGCCCTCCAAACTGGCCTTCGAGTAAGATTATTACACTCACATGCGTCGGCTGACTTTGTGCCGCAAATAAATGAATGTGTCTCCGGGAAGATTCCCTCGAGCATTGGGCCGTTCGAAGGGTTTCGTACTAGTTGTACAGCAAGTAGTCTATTTAGAGCAGACCGGTTGCCTCTTGTAATCCTAAGTGGCTCATGCGCGTGTTGCGCGGTAGGGGGCGGCCTATACGTGAACCGTATAACGCTCCCGTTGCTTTAGTCATCAGAACCGAACTAAACATCGTCTGCCCTTAGAGGAACAAGCTAAGCGTATGCGGGGGTATATTGACAACGCTCTGTCGTAAATTTCTATTTTGGGGGATTGTTCCGACAATATTTTCTCGGTATTTTCGTGTTGTAGGTCGAGGAATAGGGGCAGGACACATGCGAGGGCTTGTGAGAAAGGCTACGCACGCACATGTCAGGATCGCACTCGGCATAAGATGGCTTTTTGTTTTGTTTTAGTCGCACAGCACGACCGGGGGGTTTGTCTATATGTTTGATTTAAGAGATTATGGCTATCGGATTATGAGTATAAAGTCGGAATCAGATTCGAATAGACACGATCAGTGTGCTCCGAATCTGAACAATTTAAGTGCGAATACGCAGAGAATTAAAAAAAGATCTTTTCTGTAACTCCTTCATTAAGAATAGATAATTATCAACATTGATCATTGTAAATTATTGCAACAAAATACATTTTTTTTAATGAGTGTTTCACGCATATTTCCTTTACAACGTTTCTTCTTTATTTTGAAACAGCACACCATAAATAAACTCTTCGGTTCATTTGCAGCTAACGTACTTCGTTCGCTAATGAGCTAAGACGTCCCTTATAATAATCCGCTAATTTTAAATATAGAGACCTAATTTTACAGGGTTCATAATTGTATCTTTTGTAAATTGCAAACTATATTCACCATTTCAGGCAGCATTTGTGTGAACGCGAATTAGCGGCTTCCGGCCTACAGCTCGAAATGCCTTTGACAAAGCCAGCGCTTGTGAGGCCAGAGGCAGGATCATCATCGGCAGCGAGTGGCCTCGATTCATACAGATGTGATGGCTGCCTCTCTGACCTAACCTTTGGAAGCACGAAGTACAGGTACCCACCACCGATGCAGTTTCCTCCTTCAAATTGTTCCCCAGACAGTCAGCAGCATGACTACCAATCGAGAGAAGGCTGTTCTGGGGGTCATTCGTTGTCCGCTCACCAGCGCGAGCAGCAGATGACAGTGGAGCATTTGAAGAAGCGTCTGCAGCGCCTCCATCGGGTTTTACCAAAGGTCGCGCCTTGCAAGACATGCAAACAGCTTACCTGTCTACAGGAACCGTTCTGTCACGAGAACCGGGTAGGTGCGCAAGAGCGCTGCTAAAAATAGCGTCTCTTTTGACGACATAGTGGTAATATATCTTGATTAACAAATTGAAACACCCAAGTCACGTTGCGTTTCTGCTATAACAATTATTGTAAAAAAAACCTGATTATAAAAAACCTCAAATTTTCTAAAGGTTGTATTGGACGTTGGATCGAAAACGACATGGTGTCTGGGTCCTACTACGATGTGGCAGAAACATCCTTCTGTAATGCTTGCCGATTCTCGTGGCCACTGTCTGCCATGTGAATTCGCTGAACGCCTGAAACCGCAATCAATGCTCTTCACACGTTTTCACGGTGGATCTATTGCCCGACCGCACGCACATGCACACTCGCATGCCCATCATGCACACGGACATTATCAGGCTCTACTGATGCTGCCACACCATTATGCTGCGGCGACAAGCGTCCGAGCGCCACATGAGAACCTAGCATCATCGTTTGCCAACTTGCGTATTGAGAGCAGAAGTAAGTAAGACTACGGGAACGCCTTGTGGTTAACTCGGCAGAGCTGAGAAGCATCGATTTGCCTTAGCGATTTTTCATTCCATTGAATGACAAGGGCCCAAATAATTGGAACTAGCGTAGCACCTCGATTTGTTTCAGTCTGATTGAAGGCAATTAACTATTCAATATGATATGGTATAAGAGTACTGGAAAATACTATTAAGAAAGTACTAGACGAACATTATTGAAAATGTAAATAAATCTGCGTTCTCGTATATAAACTTTGCTATCTGTGAGTATATCTGATGTACGTTTTTACTTGCTTGCCCATTTCAGGCGTGTTTGATGATATGTCTAATATTATCAAAAACATCAACCCTGACAGCTATCTGCGACATCCCTTGAAATGTCTGCAAGGGGAAAGGGACGAAGGCGATGGCGCCTTTGGAGGAGGCTGTACGGTCTTTGAAGATTTCGTGTCACATATTCTTACGAAATTCCAATTGACCAATGCCCTTCGGCAGGCCAATTCAAGCCTTGTCTTTTGTGAGCCACACTTTATGACAACAAGACAGCGAAGAAAGTTAGCAAAATTTTTCTTCGAAACGACCGGTACTGGCAGGTCAGTTTGCCGAAAACTTAATCCAATGAATGTCTTAGTTATTGGTTTGGATTTTCAGATGAGGTTTATTATCTCAATAGTCACCTATTAATTGGTAAATACTGCTTAATAAACAAAACAAAAAAAATACACTCTGGCATAATTGCAAAGGTGACTTCGGCTCTGTTAAATGCTTAATTAACTGATCCAGTGTTTGTATCTGTAGATATTCGGATCCAAAACGGTGCAGACGATGCTCTAACGAAAATAATATATGATACATGGGTCAGCTCGTAGGGATATTAAAATGTCCCCATTACGTGCTTGAGACGACCGGATTTGTGTGTGGCTAAGCCAATGTCAAAACATTTGTTTGCGAATCCCCACGTTGATTTCGCTGTTCACATCTCGACGTAAGGTAGAATAAATTGTATTTTGGCTATTTACGGATGGCAATTTTCAGGTTGTGTTTCTTAAACAAGGCGTACAGTACGGCAAATCTAACCCAAATTCAGACGTGCATAGTCGTGGACTCGGGATGCCATAACACGGTAGTAACCGTTATCATCAATGGCCAAGTACAACCGGAACGGACCCAGCATTGCCCTGTTGGTGGCCAGCTACTTTCCGAACACCTGCTCGATTGCTTGCGCATGCGTCAATGGGACTGTCCTGTATCGTGCGAGGGTCTAGACTACCATCACGTGAAGCTCTCGTGCCACCTCTCGCCCAACATCGACATGGAGCACACGGCCGTATACGATGAAGTGTTTAAGCAGTGCTTTGTTCATTGCCAACGAGGCGGTAATCTCACGCAGGAGTGGGTTGAGTTCGGCTCTGAGCTGTATACGGCGCCGGAGTTGATGTATACGAGAATGCAACTACCGGATATGATTCTACGAGCTGTTCAAGGCTTGACGCGTTGCCAGATTCAGGAGTTAGTAACGCATATTCTCCTCACCGGCGCCAACACCGAACTGGCTGGGTTCCGGCGAAGACTCGTGTCTGACCTTCGAAGACGGATGCCAGACTTCGCCCATCTGAACATGCATACGTACAGTGGTTCACGCAGTTGGGAATGCTGTATGGGAGGGACATGCCTACTATTAGCTAACACGTATGATCCTATGACGATGTTTCCCGTTAGCTCGCATGTGAGTCACACCTATCAATGGGTCACCCGAGAAGCGTATATTCTGCATGGTGAGGCTGCTGTGAAAGACGACTAGTAACCTCGTCGGGGCCCGGGAATATACAAAATATTTATAGTTAGGCGTTTAGATATTTCAATTGTTAATTGTTGCTATTATATTCGTCTAAATCGAGATCTGTTTTTGTGTTGTCTGACAAATCTAACCTCCATTGAGCAAAAGAGAACGCAAATGAATTGTGAACGGTGAAACTTACACGCATATGAGTGAGCCGTGGATGCACCTTAAAAAGAAAATACATAATAAAAATAATAACTGCTGTATTATGTTCAGATCTATGCTACCCGTGTTAGTCGGATGTGAGAGCGATTAGAAATTTTCCACAAATGTACCGCGGGGTTGTAGACGTCTTAGTTTGATACCAGATATCTACATCCGATAGTAAGTGAGCAACAATACAACGGACCCTCGAATCATGCGCGACGGTTAAATAGACTAGAAATTATATGAGCCTCATCGCTACGCTGCATCTGTAATTGGTGATTGTTCTGGCGGTATATATACCGTATACGGGCGAAACAAAATACAGGTTCCTTCACTAGAGCCGTCAACGTAATGCGCAAATTGTGTGAAGTCAGCTAAACTGGCGTTGTACCTATGCCGGAATAAGATGCCCCAACAAATTAACATTTTTTTCCAATAGAAACCCCTTTGTGATATATGAGAAGCCGTAACTGTGTCATTAAAGTTGATCCTCTAAGTATTTACCAACCCAGACTTCGGGGTCTAAGAGTTAATTGCGGATGTGACAAATAAGAACAATAATAAGAGAATACATGCCTTTCTATATTAAGTTTTTGTAACAAAATCCCACGAAAAATGTATTTGGAAGGTTCCTCTTGTGCAGGTTGAACAGAAGAGTTTGGGGCGGAAAAATACACCCATAATTAGTACTTCCGAGTGCTATTTTAGCCGTTAATTGAGAACACTTTTGAATTTTAAAATTGGTGGTTTTAATTTCGTTTTATTACTACCTTGTCTGAAATTTTGCATGACAAAAAAATCTTCATTAAAATTCCGTACCTGGGTGAAATACTAATTAATAGAAAAATGAATGCGACCGACTTTGCTAATGAATTTTAATAGAAATTGTGGAAAATAAAATTATTATGCCGGCCTATTGAACTCCTATTGTCATTTTTTGTTTCAAACAGACCAGCAGACGTGCTCAAAACAAAGGCGATTTTCAACCTGAAAATTAACGTGTTTGGGTGGTCACATCAATGTTTAGTAACGTCGTTTGGCGTGGAGGCGCACGTATCGCGTATCGGGACGAAACTCATCCAGTTGCAGAAGGTACTACGGTTTCCAAAAAAATATGTTATAAAGTTAGAAGCAAATATAAGTTGGTGACTTTACCATACGACATCTTCATGCGTTTTTCAAATATAGGATATCTCCTAGTACTCTAGTGTTCTGACACAGTGTAGCATACCTTCAAAATAAAGCAGATGCTATTTCGACACTCAAGACCATAGCCTTCGAAGCGGGCCATAAGATAAGCGCGTTACGGAAATCGAAGTACGAGTAATATAACTTCTTCCATAGTGTAATTATTCTGTTATCCAAAGTCGGTAAGAGTTTGTATGCGTATAGGTATGCATACTAAACTTTTTGCAGAGGTCAGTTTTATCAATTGTTGTAATTTTTTTGATATTGGGTTTTCTCAGTGTTGTCTTAGGTAGTGGTAAACGGAGCACGTACGGGAAGGACCTCATGTACGTTTCTATAGTAAGCATTGTACAGTAAGTTGGATAAAAGAAAGACGTAAATACAAAGGTACTTGTTTTTTGGGCTCTACAACGTAAGCGCAACACCGCAATTCCGGAAAAAAGGTCGAGTATTGCTGTGAAGAACGCAGATCTTTTAGCATCGCTTCGGTCAGCTCCATCTTGCAACGACAGAACGATTGCAGTGGGGTGGGTAATCGAGCAACTTCAATAGTAACTTTAATAGGGGTTAGACCGAAAAAGGTAATGCTAGTGTGCGATAGCATCCGGTACATGTGTAATGCAGTAAATTTCATGAATCGGGGTGTCAAATATGAGCCGACGTATGGCGTCGTCTGTTACCACACACTTTAGCCTTTCATCTATCTTGTTAAAGCTAATTTTGACAAAAATGAATAATTGGTAAAAATTTAATAATAATCAATACGAAAATGCTTTTAAAATATTTAATAATTCAGCCGAGCTGAACAGAAGCACCACCAATATTTAAACGAACCTCACGTTTGCTGTTGGTCAACTTCTCGATCGAAAATGAACGCATTTCCATATTTCCATATTGTATGAACTGGGCATGTGTGCTGATAAGATGAGCGCTTGATTGGCTATCGGTTGATCTGAATGGGAAGACAGGTTCCTGAGCTTAAAGGGAGTTTTCTCTCACTTGTTTACTTTTCGATAGCGTTATTATCAGCGCGTCGTATTGTGAATGCAATTCTAACTCGAAAGAGCTTCTCAAATGTATGTTCCAGGTGGGTAAAGTGCATTTTCGAGATTTTCTAGACCATGCGTTTTGTCCGAAGCAGCCCGGAATACTTGTCTTGTTTACGGTAACGGTGCTATCGCAAAGAAGACTGCTTAAGAATAATTTGCCAAGTTCGAGGTATCCGGGACTTAGAGGATGCCCCCCGTCGTGACCCACCGTCCACGTCTGATGACGATAATCTGGAGGCACTTTCGAAGAAAGACGGTCGACAGACAACTCCGGAATTGTCCTAAAGGATGGGCTGAAGCCATATGGCCTTCTCCAGTCCATTGCGTTTACTTGAAGCTTGGGTGTCTCTGAACCTTTTGAGCCTGGAGAAGGGTTACAACAATGCTGCGTCTCCGCATCTGGCACGGTGTCCAGAATTACGCGGCCACAATGATTAGTTTTTGCTCGGAATTGTCGCCAGTAAGTGGTGTTTGTACGTCAACATGAACCAGAGACCGCTCAGAGAATGGGTGGCTCCAGAAGAGACGCCAAAGACCGAAGCCGACAGACAGAAAAGGGCCATGCTTTGCGATCGGTAGGACTGCTAGAGTCTAAAACTGAGAGTACTATTGACGGGGCCTACTCGAAGACGCTAAGTCGGGCCATTCTACTCTAAGCACCACCCAAGGCCGCACACGGCAGAGACTGCAAAAGCTGCTCGTGGACTTCGTATGTATGAAAGGTTTGAGTACAGCGCCTTTCGTGACCTCTGAACCTTGCACTACGTATTTGGAAAGCGTTTTGAGACAAAATCGGCTACCTTTCGACAAGCATGACATACATCATCGTGCCATAGGTCAAGAACAATATTAACTTCTGGTCGCTAAATGTGATGTTGTCAGTTTAGTGAGAAGAGTGTACGCGGGACGCTTCTCCAGTCTAATGAATAAAGAAGAAGAGACGTTTAAAGGCATGTGCAAGTGTTATTTCACACGCTTATACGAATAACCGGCAAGAAAAAAAACTTAGGTGCGTGCACACACACACACACAGACACACATACACACAGACACACACACATACACACACACACATTCGCAATACAAAACACAAACGAAACTGTTCAATTGAACGATAGTAATTAAATTACTTCTAAACCTACTAACAATTCGAATTTCTCTTCAAGTGATTCACAAATGGAGTAAGGTGAAATTGTCATAATAGTATTACACACAGAACTCAATTAAATTAAACGCAAGTGGGAACAGCCAGCCTATGCGTCAGTTCCATATGATAAGCACTTATTATAAGCAGTCACATTACCATAAAGGTATCTAAGTGGTCGGCGAGCAAATAGGTCTATACAAACCGATTTGTAGATAATGAAGAAGATCTATAGCATCAGGTCGTTGCGAATCGGGCCATAGATAACCTATGTTAGTCCTTAAATAGTGACTATGTGTCTAGATGTAATGTTCAATAAATTTTGAAACTGCTTAAGTTGTTGTCCAGAGTAACATCGACGTCTGTTTGCGTTGCCACTAATGCGTTCTCGGCACTTTGCGTATTATACGAGGTGTAGGTATATTGACCTTTCACAGACCCTTATACAAAGATGGCCGTACTCTCGTTCTACACTCTTCGTTAGCTTCAATTTTGATATAAACTATTCCTGTTTATTTAGCTATAATAATATATTTGCCAAGTAGCATCGTTAGCATGCCACTGTCTGGAGGTAATGAAGAATTTCAGTGAAGGATGTAAGGATGTGAGGACAATGCTTTTTGTCAAATATTTTGTTTCTTCATTCATCAACCGAAACACTTGTACCTAATACATACTAACGTCTAAACTTTTCTTATCTAGAGTGAAACTTTTAAGCTCCTATAGCTTTTCCTATAACGCATTATTCTCTGTTGGACAATTTCAATACATTAAATTATTGAAACCTAAATATGGTTTACAAGGAATACTGAGTAGCAATTAAAACCTGAGTAATAATAAACCCTGATAAAAAAAAATGAGTAGCGACGTACTCAGACAATGCGGCCGGTTAGACACGCAAAACTCGATCAGCAAAAAATCGAAGAAGGCGCTTTGAAGTGTTTTACTCCTTTAAAAAAAAGGGCGCACTTAAGCCTTATAGTATATAGATGTAATTAACTTGGACAATTATTGCAGTTACAAAGACGTAACGACACCGTCATAATATGCTGGCAGGTAATTGATTCTCGGCACATACTACATTTACGTTGTGAATTCTGTATGGGATACCGTTAACAATGGACTCGATTATAGCCAATTTCAGGAAGACCCGCAGCCATCTTGTTTCAATGGACAATTGGGCGAAACGGAGAAAATCACTCCCCACCCACGGCTTGAACAAATATAAAATGCTCTTTAAACTCGTCATTAGCGGGGGAAATCACTCGGCAGGTAATACCTCGATTAATAGAAAACAATGTCTTTCTGCTCATTTTCACCACAATGTTATAGTCATATCACTGCTAAGCTCCTGTTGCTTCTGAGCAGAAATTCTTCTTTCGTTTTTGCGGCGCTCAGCATCAAGATGAACAGCATCAGGAGTTTCCCGGATACCAATACGGATGACAGTTTGGCGGTGCGAGACACAGATTTTAGCTAAAGGTGTACGTGGTCTGGCGTTGTCGTGGTGGAAGACAACGTCTTTCCCGCCTACTAGTTCCGATCGATCTGCTGTCTTATTGATAATAGAGGTTTGAAAACATCGCTTTGTCAGGCGGTATCAGCAACAGTTCAATAATGATGCACGATTTCCTTCCGATCTTACCGAACACATTGGATAGCTTTCCTTGGTATCAATCTGGACTCTGCCACAGATTGTGGAACGCATTGCTTTTCATTTGCGCTGCTCGCATTTAGGCAGAGTTTCGAAGATGGAAACGCGATCAAATAAATTCTTATACCCAAACGGTAGCCAAACGTCGAACTTCGTGCTACAGTAAGCTTTCTTCAAACGGCCCAAAACCGTTTGCTGATAAAGGCTAATACCTATTTCCTTGTCGAGAGCAGAGCTAGCCACGTGGTCTCACCCTTAGCACGATTTTACTTACGTTCCTTGTAATTTGTCAACCTCATACGAAAATCGTCTCTCGCTTCGCAGAACGAAAGCAATAAAAGTCCCTTTGCGATAACGCAGCTTGACCACAAACAACAGAACTTTTTGGGCCTAGATTGCATTTTTATTGTGATAATATCAAAATGTATAGCGGATCCTTGCAGAAGTTTTATTTGCTTTCAAGGCGCCGTATCGAAAACAGGGATTCTAATAGTCTTAGCACGTCTACTACAGGCAAACCCCAGCTTTCAAATTATGCCTACGCCGAGCCGACGTGACTCACGTAACATTAGATATATATAATTTTAAAGCTAGAGAAACAGTTAACCCTAGAACCTGGTATTCTAGGGAGTTTCACGTGTATTAAGCTAAAAATACGACAGCTATTTGCTTTTCATTTTCATGTTTTTTTTTTTACCTAATGGATCTCTTAGCGCCTACGCAGATAGATCGACTATATGTGCCATCAGCGATTAACGACTGACATCGCGGCATGACGTCAAGCTACGAAGCAGCGAAGTCGAAATTCAATACTAAGAAAGGCATCCCACCTTAGACGTTGGGAAACAGTTTATGATCTCATAGTTAAACAAGATGTTGTGAGTACAACGGTGGCAACAGCAAGCGGATCACTACTCGCTTTGTGTAACCGGAATCTTCGTACAAATGCGATAGCCACGAAAAACAATAAAAGCTTTGAAAATATCAATCCAGTCTCTACCGAACATTTATTATTTTGTTGCTTCATTTTATACTTTCGTCTCACTCAGTTAAAAGCTATAAACTCCTCTTTTTCAGACTGTAAACTGGTCCCTGATGATGATTCGTATGGCGTGCGTCGAGCTCGCGACACGTGTCATCTACGACGTTGAACATTCGCGGGAATGAAATTTACAATCATCGGTGGTCGACTGTTCGTTCCCCTACAAGCTACCGCAGGAATATCATTGTTCTAAACGAGGAAAGACATCTTGGCATGGCGAGTGAAATACATGTTTCCAAGGCTGTGTAAATGTGCTTCCTATAGGTGCTCGTCTGTGCTTGAATTCACCCTGAAGCTCAAAAGCAACAACAAAATCCAGAATCATACAACGATTCATGCGTTTTCTTTTTCGATACGCGTACTAAATCAGTGTGCTTTTAATAGATAAAGCGAGTCCCAGTGATCGGAACCTTATGGCCGACAATCTGGCTATCCACTGAATGTTTGCTTTTAACAGCGACCCGGTCCGCTACAGCTGAGAAGCTCGTGGCATAGACAGACAAATAGTCACCTCTTCTGCCAGTCGGAATCGCTAGTGGAAGCGGAACAGAAGGTGGGGCTCACTAAGCGCCTTGCGTCTATACGCGTGCCAACTGTGACGTGGGCTCAACCTTAGCCCGATTCCGCCTTTCACCGAGAAAACTGTATACCGTAATTATTCAATTGGCGAGTATATGTTAAGACGCAGATACTCCATGGCTTCGCGTTCGTTTCTCCGTTGTAGTGCCTACTATGAACGTAATATATAAGAGTACTGCACGATTCCGTTCACTCTTTTTTCGTGCACTAATGGAGACTTTCAACTTGAATCGAGACGATCGTATAGTGTGTACATATAGATGCATGAGAAAGTACCATATTTCGTATATTTGCACGGATAATAGGGTGGCGGCTGCATTGGCCACGAACTAACGTTAACACGTGACACTTTTTACTGATTGTGATTTTGGGACGTTTCAACAACGGGAATCTGCTACATGCTTACGCACGATTTTTCGGTTAAAATAGAAAATAATTTATCGACGGTGAGCCATGATCAATTTGCTATTGAATATGAATCATTTTACAACAAATAGTAGCCATTTTTTTTTTTGTTACTTTTTTTCGGTAGACATATACCATTGTTTTTGTAATTTACAAAATTACTATTATCATAATTTTTTTTGGATAAAGAAGTTTTACCTTGAGTACCCTAAAACTAAATGTATTTGATGAAAAAAAACGCATCGGTTTTTTGTGCGTGTGAAAAATATACGGACACGATCAGGTACAGGAATAATATCTAACGTTGAGTAAACAGTTGAAAGAAACTAGACAATTATGCTCCTTCAAAAGCGGGTCGAAAGAACTATCTGCTGAACGTGTCAGTTTCTATTTAGCGTGCCACTTACGCTCAGTATCGGTCGAATCCTCGTCGTTCTTTCGCCATTTCTTTAATTTCAGCTCAGAGAGTCCAAAAGCTGTAGTCGTATTTCGATTTTGAGCTCACGGTAAAATTTTGCGATCTGGACAATTGGAACACTTAACCATCAGCAATAAAATAAAGCGAATAAAAGCGGTACTAACTAATTATGACCGCGAAATCTGCTTTTTATTTCAAATATCAATATATACCTTATGTAAATTTGGGTTGACATTGGCAAAACTTTATAATAGCTAATAGCGTTAATAGATACAAGTCAATCGTATTATCAAAATTGGCTTTATACATATATATATATATATATATATATTGAAATTAGCTCCTCAAACAAAGACCGTACATCGCGGCACACAGGCCGTTGACGCAAGCCTGCAATTCTTAGTTTCTCGGGATCAGGAAAGACAACAGTTTATGCAGCGTTTCAATCTAAAAGGTCCGAACTTGTGCGCATGAGGCAATTCCGGTACTCTACCATATTGACGTTGAAATCTACCTGTCGACTCATCGACATCTTAAGTTACCCTGTTCACCCGCCCCACTCCAGCTGACACCAACGATCGCAATCAAACGAACTTTGTCTTCTACCTAAAAGCAATGCTAATGCTCTGAATATACCTCAGGCACACTTGTCTGCACGTTATAGAAACGATGTCGTCCCGAGCTACGGAAAACCGAACACCATTATTATAAATGACTCTCTTATCTTGAATCGCTAACTTGTCTTTATCTACCCTTACAAGATACTTCGCGGATATGTTTGAGACAATTCCAAAAGATGCTGCTGTGATCATGGCAGTATAGGGAGAAGGCGAAAAAATGTTTTGAAAAAGAATTTTTTTGTCTTGTCAAAACATCTCAATCACTACCGTCAGACAAGGCAGGCGGGTCCAATCCTGACAGAAACAGAACACCTGAAGGACATTCTCATTCTTGCCCCTTGCTAGACGTGCTCCTTTGCGCAGGCCTGGTTCCCCTACAATTGCTCGAAGTTGTCCTCCTCGTCAACCCCAAGGGCAGAAATGCCTCTGGTCGGCCGATGGTTTAGCGAGGCAAAGCCAAGGAGAATGTTTGAACATAATTGTTGTCGCTTCTTACAAAGAG